CTCGATATGTGATCCATTGTTGATCTGCACACAGCTGTTGTCACGAACGTCGCACTGGCTTACGTCACTGTCATGAGACATTCTGGCAAAAAATCACGGGAAAGTAACGGTAATCTAATTACCGTTTTTGCAATAGTAATCCCTTACTTTACCCGTTACTTTAAAAAGTAATCAGATTACATGCCCATCTCTGGTGGGGGTATTTTCATGGTCCCTTAGTACCAAGTGATCACTGTTTAAACAGGTCGCTGTGCTCAAAGGGCCTTCACAGTCACCAGATGTCACGAGAGCACCTTTGTGGTGGGTTGGAAGAATGCAAGCGGCTGTGTGATGCTCTCATGTCAACATGGACCAAAATCTCTGAAGAAAGTTTGCAGCACCTTGTTGAAATCTGTGTTATGAAGAATTGAGGCAAAAGGTGGTCCAGCACTGTACCTAATCAAGTGGCCGGGGAGTGCATATTAACTAAGTTACAGCAAGGTTCACTTTTTTGCATTTCCTGAGCAGCCTTGAGACAAAAACCACATCTCAGGAATCGTTGGTGAGAAATTCATGCGATCACAGCAGCTCCAATCATTATTTTTACTTTGGATCTTTCCTTTAACACATTTGTTCATTTTTAAATTAAACCTAACCTGCAATTCCTGCTGTCCAGACAAGAGAACAGACCCCTGGCTGTTGGTCTACTCCCCAGTCCCGGTGACGCTCATCTTCCTGCTTTATCTGTTTGTAATCTGGGCCGGCCCTCGTCTGATGAAGCACAGGGAACCCTTTGAGCTCAAAGTGGTCCTCATTGTTTACAACTTCGCCATGGTTGGCCTGTCTGTGTATATGTGCCATGAGGTGTGTTTAAGCTGCTTCTTTGTTCTGTTATAACAGGGAAACTAATTAACCAACCAGCTTATGAGCAAAGCAATGATGTGTTTGAACAGTGGCACAATGTCTCTGTACTTGCATCTGTGCACCAACCTAATGAATTCAAATATAGTTCAGCTGTGATTGAAGAGAAGATTTATAGATTCAGTTCAAAGGGTACTGAGACCCGTGTCCAATCTGTGCTTTGCAGGTTGGGTTCAGGTCAGGAAGAGATTATAGCGCTATAGGCATCAGACTACTACATGCTTTTTTTATCAGCAGTAACATCATCAATAAACACCAGTGAACCAGTTTAACTCGCGGTCATACATGTTTTTGTCACAACATCCCCTCCAACATGTTTGGCTGATAATGTGGTGTGTTTTGGATCTTGAATCCTTCTTTTCTTCCTCTCTTTCTGCTAAACGTTCGTCTTAGTTTTGTCTGTCCAACGAATCTTGTTCCAGAACTAGTCCGTCTAGATGTTTGTAGCAAAGCCTCATCTGTCCTTACTATTGTTGGGTTCAATTCAATTCAATTCAATTTTATTTATATAGCGCCAAATCACAACAAAAGTCGCCTCAAGGCGCTTCATAGATACAGAGAAAAACCCAACAATCATATGACCCCCTATGAGCAGCACTTTGGCAACAGTGGGAAGGAAAAACTCCCTTTTAACAGGAAGAAACCTCCGGCAGAACCAGGCTCAGGGAGGGGCGGGGCCATCTGCTGCGACCGGTTGGGGTGAGAGAAGGAAGACAGGATAAAAACATGCTGTGGAAGAGAGACAGAGATTAATAACAGATATGATTCAATGCAGAGAGGTCTGTTAATACATAGTGAGTGAGAAAGGTGACTGGAAAGGAAAAACTCAATGCATCATGGGAATCCCCCGGCAGCCTACACCTATTGCAGCATAACTAAGGGAGGATTCAGGGTCACCTGGTCCAGCCCTAACTATATGCTTTAGCAAAAAGGAAAGTTTTAAGCCTAATCTTGAAAGTAGAGATAGTGTCTGTCTCCTGAATCCAAACTGGAAGCTGGTTCCACAGAAGAGGGGCCTGAAAACTGAAGGCTCTGCCTCCCATTCTACTTTTAAATACTCTAGGAACAACAAGTAGGCCTGCAGAGCGAGAGCCAAGTGCTCTAATAGGGTGATATGGTACTACAAGGTCATTAAGATAAGATGGGGCCTGATTATTTAAGACCTTGTATGTGAGGAGCAGGATTTTGAATTCTGGATTTAACAGGAAGCCAAAACAGGAGAAATCTGCTCTCTTTCTAGTCCCTGTCAGGACTCTTGCTGCAGCATTTTGGATCAGCTGAAGGCTTTTCAGGGAGTTTTTAGGACTTCCTGATAATAATGAATTACAGTCGTCCAGCCTGGAAGTAATAAATGCATGGTTCACGAGAAAGACGCTGTAATTTTAAGATTAGACTCAAAACGTTACTTTTTGATGAAGCTTGTAGTTGGGGTTAGATCAGGTGACCCTGAACGATCCTCACTCACGCTGCTGTTGTCTCAGACGGCTGCAGTACTTCATGTGATGCACTGAGCGCTTCTTCACCACTCCCCTCTTTTCTCTGCCCACGTGTCTTTACACGACTGCAGCGTGTCATTCAGTTTTCGTCCTCTCCTCCTTGGTCTGTGTTTGTACTGTCTCCACATGCGCTGCCCCACCCCGAGCCTGCTTTAGGCTTCTTCCTGTTAAAGGGAGTTTTTTTTAGTTTTTTTGGTTTTTGTTCTGTGCTTACTCAGCGGGTGTCACTTGATTGTTGGGTTTTACCTTAAAAACAGTGATCACATCATATTAGAACAAACAATGACAAGAAGAGTGGACACAGAGGACAATATAGATAACGGAAACACATCAATACAGTGATACAGTATTCGATATGAGCCAGTATCACAGAGAGCAGGAATGTAGTCGCTGCTGTCTGGTAATGATATGTCTACAGTTCTGTATATTAACATTTACAGTTTTCACTACTTTTTAAACGTGTTTTTAAAGGATAATTTCGAGTCTAGTAGCGCTCCCAAATTCATAAATTCCTCAACATGAATTCGTTCTTGTTATTCGGGTATTGTCATTTTCATATTGGTCATAAAAAATGAGGATGTGAGCCAAACGTCGTCGGCTATCGGACTACTTAAAAAAAAAGGAACATGTTTAAAAAAATCTATTTGTTCTTCTTGAAGTGCTACTGCAATATCCTCATTAACCTCTTTAACTACAGCTGGAAATCTTAGTGTCAATAACCTCAATTTTCTAATCATTGAAAATCCATTGTGGTGGTGAACAGATGCAAACTTTCCAAATACTTTGATAAACCTGACTGCATGACCCAAAGCACACATGTTAAAATACTTCTGTACAGTATTTAATTTATTAATCACTGTGTTTTAGAAAGTCTCGTTTCATGAGATATGTGAAGATGAATAACTGCCTGATTATTTTCAGTTCCTTGTTACATCCTGGCTCCTTAACTACAGCTTGCTGTGTCAGCCTGTAGATTACAGCACCAGTCCGCTGGCAATGAGGGTAAGAAAGTTATGCATTGAGTATATTTTGTGGTTTGTTTGTTGTGTGTGTGTCTGTTGAGAAGTTTGATGCATATCATACATACCTGACAAACAGTTTATACAGAAGTTACACTTTTTCCCCAGATGGCCAGAGTGTGCTGGTGGTTTTTCTTCTCTAAGGTCATAGAGCTCAGTGACACGGTATGTATCTACACAGCCCAAAGCTGATGCACTCTTTCCTGATCCTGTGTCACAGCAGCATCGCCTCCGTACCAACTTCTAAACCTTCCCTTTAAATGTTGCTTGTATCTCCTGATTGTTTTCCATCCACTCCACCCTGCTCTTCTCCACCTCTTCACCTTTTCTTCATCCTCCATCACCTTTTCTGCTCTATCAGCCTGTCCATTGCCACTGGAAGCGGGAAAAGCTCAGAGTGTAACTGAACCTTCATCTTAAACCCATCTGTCACTCTCAGGATCAATGCTGAGACCCTCTTTGGAGGGTCCGCCACATTAGGTGCTGTTCAAAAACAACGAGATTAAAAAATGTTGTAAATGTTTGTTGGCCCGTAGACATTTTCAAAGAATAGAACAGCAGGTGGGGATGCAGTCGAGCAGACAATCGTTGCTGTAAGGCTAAAGCAGAGCGTGGGGTTCAAGTCCACACTGTCACCATTTTTTTAAAGACTAGCAAGTGGGAGCATTTCAGCAATATTTACGTGAATGAGTGCTTTTTTTTTTGCATATGCGATGGATTGATCTTAACATAAGCTCCAGGAATATATCATTCCGCGTTGCTACTGGTGCTGACTGTAAGTTTTTGTTTCTGGCAGAGAAAGGTGAGGATGTTCCAAAGCTTAAAATGATCATTGTGCTCTTCATCACATACGTCTCTGCTACTCTCAGTGTCCTCATGCAGTACAGCTCTTCTTTTGCGACAGTCTTGTATGCACCTAATACCCCAAAGGCACAGTCGTAGTCTTAGGAATTTCCTTCTCTTTTTTCCAGTAATCATACAATGTCTCACTTTCCAAGTAAACCTCGCAGCTCCTACACGTGTCCATTCTATCTGGACCAACCGGCTTTGCGTTTTCTTTCAATACTCACTGCTGCCCTGACTCTATGATTTAACTTTCTCTCATTTGCTCTTATTTTCTTTATTCTTCATCCCTGAAAATTACTCCTTTTGATTTCACCCATCTGTCACCTCTCAGTATGTTTCAGTATTTATGCTTCCTGTTCAGTTCCTTTCCTTCTAGCCCTTAGTACAGGCACTTTTCTCCTTCCTTATGCTGTGGTGTCTGTGTCTGCTAAAGCTGCGAAGAAGAAAAAATACTTTTGTCTGGTGCTTTATTCAAGGAATAGATCACCATAGCAACTAGCACCTCATGTTTGATATGTCATATCTTTTCTTTCCTCACATATGATGTAGCTACAGATGGGGATCATTCACGTTAGGCGACTGCATAAACTTCAATTCAATTTTATTTTATTTATACCCAATCACAACAAAAGTCGCCTCAAGGTGCTTCATAGATACAGAGAAAAACCCAACAATCATATGACCCCCTATGAGCAGCACTTTGGCGACAGTGGGAAGGAAAAACTCCCTTTTAACAGGAAGAAACCTCGGGCAGAACCAGGCTCAGGGAGGGGCGGGGCCATCTGCTGTGATTGGTTGGGGTGAGAGAAGGAAGACAGGATAAAGACATGCTGTGGAAGAGAGACAGAGATTAATAACAGATATGATTCAATGCAGAGAGGTCTGTTAATACACAGTGAGTGAGAAAGGTGACTGCATTGCATATACACTGCTAGCTGCTAGCTGTAGCTCTTTGCTCATTTCTCTGTGTACAGCTCCTGATCATCCTGCGGAAGAAGAACAATCAGCTGACGTTCCTTCATGTTTACCATCACAGTACGATGATCTTCAACTGGTGGTCAGGAGTAAAGTATGTGGCAGGTGGACAGTGTGAGTATTCTGATACTGAAATATTTTGTCCTCAGATTTGTGACCTCATTCCCCCAAACAACCATAAAGTCCACTAAGAGTAAAATTAGCTCCACTGCTTTAACTAGCTTCTCCCTTTAGGGGTCGCCACAGTGGCTCATCTACCTCCACCCCCCCGATCTCTGGCATCCTTCTCTGTCACACTAGTCCTCTTAGTGGTCTTCCTCGTTCCCGCTTGCCTAACAGCTCCATCTCCATAATCCTTTTTCAAATATATATTTAAACCAGCTTTTCTGTGTGGAAAACCTTTTTCTGTTGTTTCCTGCAGCGTTCTTCGTCGGCCTGATCAACACCTTTGTCCACGTTATAATGTACTCTTACTATGGCCTGGCTGCACTCGGCCCTCACATGCAGAAATACCTGTGGTGGAAACGGTACCTGACATCTCTGCAGCTGGTGAGCGTCTCCAGCTCTGTAGTGAGATATTTAAAAATGTGCGCGCCAGCATGTTCGAATCATTAAACCGATCTGAACTGTGTCGCCTCTCCAGGTGCAATTTGTCCTGATCGTTGTGCACACAGCGTACAACCTGTTCGCAGATTGCAACTACCCTGATGCCATGAATGCTGTGGTGGTTGGTTACTGCATCACCCTCATCATCCTCTTCAGTAACTTTTATTATCAGAGCTACCTCAGGAAGACGAAGAAGCAGAAATGAGACGCCGTGATGAGGCAACACACAGCTGAAACACAACGGTTTTAAAAAAATACAGACACATAATAAATTATATATCTCTATCTAGATATATCTCTATCTAGATATATCTATATCTCTATCTCTCTCTATATCTATCTATCTATAGATATATAGATAGATAGATAGATATAGGCATTATACATGATGTACATTAAAGGTTTATTTTTTGAAAAAATAAATCTGCAGTACTTCGCAGCGACCACTGGAGGGCGCAACAAGTCCACAGTGTGAAAGTTTTTCTCAGGGTGCTCAACACACAACTAGCTCTGGGGACTGACATTGCACAATATTTCGGGCTATAAATGCATTGGTGTGTTGCATTTGTTACGTAGTTGTCTTTATAAAAACAAACAATATAATAAACACAGAACAAATGTGAGCAGCTGAAGCATCTGTCATTTATATTGTTTTTTAAAAAAGAGACACTGCGTGATGATTCAGTTATTTATTTCTTAAACTGAGGAATGACAAACATTCAAATGATTGCTGTAAACAAACTGTACATTTTATACATATAATAATAATTATAATAAAGTAGGATGGTTTCCTCCCGAGATAAATCCAAAAGCCAAAACAAAAAAAAAACAAAAAACTACTTAACAAGAGAAATGCAAACTTTTTTTCCCCACTGATAAAACTTCACTGCAAAACGTTATATTCTCCTCTACACGTCAGTGTGGAGCAGACGTGTAGATTACCGAGAAAAAAAACAAAGAGGAGGAGAGGAGAGGTTTGTGGTGTTAAAATGAGATGTTGTATGTAGAAGCTCGAGCTGATTGTACTGTCTGTGTGCAGGTTTTACTGTCAATGTCATTTAATAACATTTAATTCAATTCAGTTTTATTTATATAGCGCCAACAGCTGTTGCCTCGAGGCGCATTACAGACTAAAACCTGCACCATCAACAAGATCATTTATTTGCCGATCGTGCCCAGCAGTTTGCAGCCTGGTAACTTGGACCTTTAACCCAACAGGATTTTAGTTTTTCAGTCTGAATGCCAATTAGCATTAGCATGAATTAGAACGAATTTAAAGACTGCAGGAAGTTTCCATAATAGAAATAGAAATATCTGACTGTTTTCATGATGGGGTGCCCCATTATCAGACTATTCAAACACTGGTGTCCTTTTTTCAAACCTTTTAGTAGTCTCGTGCTTATTTTAGTGTTATTACTTGTACATTGGCCTTTGAAAATATTCATGTTGTACAAAAGAAGTCAGTATTTGTTTGCTTGAACTGATCAAAGCAGATGCAGCTGAGTAGGCGCAAGCATAAGTAGACAGTTTAATGTTTTAAGGAGTCATGCGGGAAAAAAAGGTTGGGAAACACTACCATTGTTTTTGCCACTGAAGCCATTTCCATTCAGTGTCACAGTTGCATTTACATTATATTTAGCCTTATTTTTTCCACTTTATTGGTTTCTATCTTGCACTTAAGTCAGAATAACCCACTTACAATGTGATCTTTGTTCTGTTTTTGGAAAAATGAAACCAGAACTGAAGAAAAAAAAGATCTAAGCGTGTGAGGATGCATGAGGAAGTAGTGTGGTGAAGCCTGTCTTGCTCCTGTGTTCCTTTATGTCTCTGTGTAGATGGAGGACATGTGGCTCAAGCTACGGTCAAAGCTGCCCACCTGGAAGAAAATGCTATCCTCTGGGCTGGATAAGAATTGGCAACCGCCGCCTCCCTGCAGCTCCTGGGTCAAGCTGAAGCCTGGAACAGATGCAGGGAAGAACAGTTTGTTTAATATGCTGATTAAATGGTGATACTTGCAGCTCAGCCTGTACACAAGCTAAGAGGACAATCATCCTCACCCGCAGAGCCGGTGTTGCTCGTCGACATGTGGAAGCCATTGGGCTGATGTGAAGTGTAGGTGTGAGAATCTCCCGGGACGTGGACGCCACCGACTGTCTGCTCCATCCTGTAGGAGTCTCCGAAATGGAAGCAGCTCTGGAAGCTGCCTTGGTATTCTAAGAAATGTTGGAGAATCATAGAGGGAGAGAGAAAAATAGAAGCTGGACTTCATCAGTTGCCATTACAGAGGGACTGTTTCCACTGTCACTAAGCGCCCGGTCCATCCGGCTGAAACGTAATATGGTTAAGTTATGACAATGCTATATTTGTGTTTGTGCTAACACTGCCAGGCTACACGGTATGTAGCATTTGTCCCCATCGTCTGAGTTTGTGATCCAGATCAACCGCAGGAGTCATGATAATGGGAAAGCAGCCCTTCCTGGAGCGCATTTACGCAACTGGCTGACCACAGCGTGGTTTGAGAGACGTCCATGTGTAGATCTTTACAGTGAAAACAGTGTTTAAGGCATTAGGAAAAATGCTCGGGAGTGACAGCTGAACCTGCCATGTTAGGACGCTGAGAGACGGCCGAATACACGAGCCAGCATTTTGTTGGCTAATTCAGCACGAGGAAAAGGCTTCCGGCATGTGGTTTTCCCCACTCTGTCTCTACGACTCGAATCTCTCGGGGTCCTAAAAGCGGTCCGACAGAGCTGCGGGGCTGTATCGGCGCGCTAAGAGACGACTTCCTCTCTCTTTTATGTGGCAGCGAGTGCTGCAGCTTTTGGAAGAGGAGCTGAGTTGTGTTCAGATTGTAATTATATTCAGGTGATCTGTTCCTATCGTAGGAAATCATAGAGTTACTGAATCACCTGCCACAGGAACCATTTTAGGATATTAAATTGAAACATGCAGGAAGTGATTCTAAGTCAAGCCAAAACAGATTTCCTGAAAGAAGTTAAGCTGCATTCTGCGTTGAGTGTCGGGGTTAGCCTTACCGTCGCTGGCAGGCTGATGCTGGTGATAGTGAGGGTAAAGCTTGTGGTGAGGGTGGACATGCTGTTTCTCCAGTGGAGGAGGCGATGTCCCCGCTGTCTTCATCCCAGGAGACAGGAGGGAACCCGACACCCTGAAGCAGACACGGAGAAACTAGGAATAAAAAGCTCTCAATTTAAAGTCATTCCTTTCTTGACAGCCTCAGTAGTTTCTCAATAAAATGCTTCATGCACTGTGACGTCCCAATCAAAGCCGGAGCTGCATGCCGGCCTGCTAACCACATGATCCAACAAACCCAGCGGAGCAGTCAGTGATCCTGCACACACATAGAAGAAGAAACAGTCCAGGCATGTGGAAACTTGGGCTCCCCACACGTAATCTTCCTCCTACCGCATATTATGATCTTAAGTCAACAAACAGCAGAGTGTGCATTGAAGCGAACACACACCAGTGCAGTAACCCTTGGCTTTGTGGCCGGGGAAGAAAAAAAATACAACCCCTGTTTACCTTCATGACATTTAAGTGAAGAAATATTAAGTTAACGTGTTTGAGACTTTGTGGACTCCAGCCTGTGCAGATAATGATATTTTAGGTAAAGATGCCTCTGTGCTATTGGACCCATTTGTCATTCGATACAGCAGCAGCAAATCTCCAAGCTTCACACGGTGCCAGTCCTGGCTAAACGGAGTTGGTTTTTCTTCAATCTCTGCATTTAAGAGGCGCACTCTGTGCTGGAAAAGCCACAAATATGACATCAAATCTTGAAATCAAAGCAAAATTATGAAATGTTTTCGCTGTTCGGTGCCAGTTGAACTAATTGACTTTGCAAAATCTATAGTATGACATCAGAAAACTGCAATGTGCTTCATCACCACATCTTACTTTCTAACGTGAAGTTTCCTGCTGTCATGACTATGACCCAT